GAATTTCTCTGAACAAATCCTTTTTTTTAAAAAAAAAATAATTCTATTGCAATAATTTCCGTTAGATACGTCGCATAACCAATTAGAATTATATTAAGTCCAGATAATGTAAGCATTTAGCAACTACAGAGAATATGTAAACATGATACAAACTACCGTAAACTACCGATGATTACGTTCGTTGCTGGATCACGCGATATCAAGTGACAAAATTCTTTCTTGTAGTTTGTGTCACTAAAACAGATTAAGTGACAGCAAGATGCATATTATCATCCAACTATTTTTGCAAAAAATATGTTTTCACGTGACAATAACATAATGCTGCTTCATTTTTATCCTTACATTACTGCTCTAGTCTAAGAAGTGATCAAAAATTAACCCCAACCTCTGGTACCTTGAAATTTGGATAATACTTATGATATTTGGCTAATTTACTGACTAATAATTTGAAGTCCTTAACACGGGCCCTGGAATACCTAGGCAATTTATTGGTTGCCTTAAGTTTTTAGGAAGCATGAATTATGAACATTTTTATGTACTTCATTACATAGAAATTGTATATTATGTCTAGCCATTATTTAAAATGACAAATGTTCTTTAGGCAAAGTAAGAAAAAAAGGGGGCCAAATAAGGTTATAAAGACGTTCACACTTAAGGTTTAACAGATGTAGACTAACCACAAAAATTCATTTTTTAAAAAATTACGAAAAACTTTCATAACGAAGCCTGTAATAAATGTTCAATACAATGTAAGAAATGCTAGCATTCCCTAGAATAACAAGGCATTTAATAAAACATGTGATAATAAAAAACAATTGTTATTCCATAGAATGCCTTAGCATAATATGCAATGCCTATGGAAAAGACATAAAACTTCTCCTACATTGCCTAAAAACTACAAGCATTCTATAAATGACCTAGATATTCTATAGAATATTGGTGTTTCAGATAGTGAAAATAGTATGAAGAACTGGGTGAATGAAGGTTGTAAGTGACATTTTAATGAGATTGAGTAAATTAATTTAAAGTTAATACGTTCATAATATAAAATAAAGATTATGCCTTGCCTACTTGATTTTCTTTCTTATCCATAAACTTCCAAATGGTGAAATTTATAAACCCTAACACTTACTTTTCCGCTAGAATAGATTTATCTAAAGTCGTTCATCCAGAGTTTCTTGCCAAAAGCACTTGAGACATTCTTCCACTTCAAAAACATTCAATGATTGTCAACTTAGTACCGACATCCAATGAGATTTAAAAACTTCGTTGAATAAATTGATGTTGCATAATTAAATATGATTAAAACAAGATCTTTCCCCAAGAAATTTTAACTTTTCTCAAAAATGTCGCTTCGGACCTATAACCACAAAGCAATTCATATATATAAAGCATTAAATGCTGACAGGTAAATATAATAATAATACCTCACTAGATGGAAAATAAAAATTCCTCCATACCGAAATAATCCTTTAAAAACCCGATATAAAAAAAAAAAGTTGTGATAGTTCGAAAAACAAAGATAAGCCATTTTTTCAAAACTATAACGGTACCGTTTCATTTTGCGAACGCACTATCCTCACATTCCAGGCAAAAGATATTTTTTCAAACGATTTCTTTTGTTTCCGATTCATCGCTCAATTCTTTGCACTGAGGCGAATTTCCTTTTTATCACAGTTTTCGTGGAACTTTTTCTAAGAACAAAATGGCTCAAGTAAGAAAATCTTCTCTTCCCCATGTTATGTAAGCACTCTTGTCGGAAATGATTTCCTTCAAAGTATTTTCACCTTTTGAAAATATTTTCACTTTTAAAAGAATTTCCGTCTTAGAAAATATTGAGCTTTTGATGTATCATGTAACACCAGGGGGGAAAAAATGTTGTTTGAAATATCTGACTCTGAAGTGTTTTTTTTTCTTTATCATTATTATATCTTACTTGGAAATCACGAATTTTCATTCTTCAGTGGCTCTTTGCTTTCGGCGAAGGTCATATAAAAAATAGTTCTGTTGAAAAAACTTATTTTTGATTTAAAAATAATTCAATAACAAACGCTTCATTAACTTGTTACCATGAATTTTATATATCTTCAGTAACCTTTATCAACCCTCTACCTGGGTTGAGTTTTTACAGGAAAAACTAGACTTTACAGGACATAACAAAACCAGGTTTTAGCTGTAAAAATCATTGGGAAAATAGCAAGAAACTAGTAAATTTTGTTAGTCTCTGTTCATTTCCTGGCAGGTAGTGTTTTACTATTTGTAACTTATAACTATATATTTATTTTTAGTAATATAAGTTACAAGTAATATAAGTTACCTCGTAGTTATGCATATTATATGCAACTTATAATGGTCCGATTAATGTATTCAAAAGCCTTTTATAGGTACTAAAATAAGCTGTTTAGGTTTATATAAATATTTATATTTGTGAAGAAAAAAAAACATACAACAGGGCAAATATAAATAACTCTTAATTAATTAATTAATTTCTTGTATTCTTTACTACTTGCTTCAACATTTGTTTTTAAATGTAAAATTACAATTGAATTATAACTAACACTTAATAGATTAATACACAAATGTTTTAATTTAGCAGGCCAAAAGTTAAATAATTCCTTTATTCATTAGTATGTGGTAAACGTTATGAAAAGGTATCTATGGAAAAATATTTTAGAGCATTGGTACTTAAAATGTACTTTAAATATTCGAAGCCTTAAATTTAGATTTCTTTTTCTTAGATTTATAGAAGTGGCAGAAATAGTAATTTTTTAAGGTAATAAAAACCTTGGGAAGAACATTCTTTAAAAAGATTGTAAATTAGTGAAAAAAATAAGTTTTTCTCATCACTGTTAAGACTACCGAGACGAGAAAAAAAAAATTCTTTTCAGATTTTTTATGTTGATAAAAAAACTCAAAATTTTTTCTCAAAAAATAATTAGCAAAATTTAAGCAATTTCTGCATTAAGACAAAGTGATCGAAAATTTCTATGTATTTATGATGTGTATTTACAAATTTTAATATCGCTATATATTGTCAAACATATGGATGTTTAATAATATAACACGATATTTTTCCAATTTGATTTAAATTATTTGTACATAGGTCAATTGTGCTCACAGTAATATATTCAATAACCATCTTTCTGTATAATATTCGCGATATTATCTTTTTGATATATGTTGTCTATATTAACAGCGATACTATCGCATAAAATTATCATTAATTATCGCGATATTTTTTTCAATAAGTATTGTTATAGTCAATGATAGCGATATTGATACACCTATGGATATTATTGGTAGCAAGTGACCTGCGTGTAAACCAGACTAGGGTATTTGTCTTACATGTTTTATAACCGTAAATGTATGACACTGATGTTGAACTCCGTAACCTTGTAATTTTGAACCCAATCCAGAAGACAAGAGAACTCTGGAACATTTATTGGGAAAAATTTGCTTTCGTGGAAGACTTATTGATGAAACTAACTTGCATTTACGTTACATGGTGGGAAGTACCATAAAAACCTCCCACTGTTTGCCAGACGGCAAGTGGGCTCTAACCCATGATGTCTACCAATAAAGATATTTTTGTCAGCACTGTGGTCGGTGTATGCCCGGTGAAGAATTCGTATTGATCAGCCATTGCTGGGATTCGAACCTGGGTCACATCATTTGGTCTTACATTTTGATGAACTTGACTTCTAAGTCCCTACAACCTTTACAAATTTGCATTTAAAAAAAATCTGTTACAGTGCGGTGACAGTGCGAATTTTGCCAGAAAAAGGAAATAAATTTAACTTGACTTATTTTCGTCTGCAAGACGAAGAAGTTTCTGCTAAATTTCGATTGATGATTATTTCTATTAGTAACGATCAGGAAACGATTGAAACTCATAATCTAATCAGTCGGAAAACTGTGGAGCTGGTGAGCTAATCTGAAAAGGGTAGAAATATAGATTGAAAGATTTTATCCTCGTAGTTACGAAAGTAAGTAAATGAAATGTAGTACCGTTACAAAAACTATTCAGATATCAAAAGTAATTTCCTTATAATACTGACATCATAGAGAGCGATTTCAATTCTTTTGGAACAGTTTAAAGGTGTATTTTTAGACTTTTGAAACTGTTCGAATAAAAAGTTTAATTTTCCTAGAATTAAGAATCAAATTTTTTCCCTGAAATGTAAAGTAGATTATGAACAAAATTAACAGAAATATTATTTTCACGCAAGTTAAGTACGATATTTGTGAGCATGCCTTTTTTTTGTGCGACTAAACAGCAGTTTTCAAAAGGTGTTCCGCGGAACCCTAGAGTTCCGTGAAAGGGTCAAAAGGGATCTGGCAGTTGGGACATATTTTTTAAAACCAGTAGTGTTTTGTGAAACCTGTAATTATATTTATATCAACCAAAAATCCATATTTTATTTTATATTTGTTTTTTTTTTGATGAAATTATTTAAGAAAAAAGCCAATAAAAAAAACAGCAAAATTTATATTTAAAAAAATTCCACAATTTATTGAATAAATTACGAAAAAGATAAGAAGCTATAAAAGGTTATATTAGTTTTTTAAAATAAAATAACCAGCTTTTATTGCTCTACCAGTGAAAAAAAAGAAAAAACTTTGATCTCCACATAGAGCACGCGCCTCCCAATGAGATGACCCAAATTCAAATCCCAGCGGAGGCTGGTTGATAAGAATTCTGCTCCTGGCTTGCACCGATAATAGGGCTGATGTTAAGGTTCTCAGTGGTAGATGAATCATGGGTTAGAATCCTCTTGCCGTCAAAGTAACCGTGGGAGGTGTTCCCTTATATGTAATGCAAATGCAGGTTAGTTCTCTCAATAAGTTCTCTATGAAGACTAGTTTGTCACTATGTTTGATCCAGGAGTTCCCTTGTCTTCTTAATTGGGTTCAAAATTACAATGCTACAGAGTTGAACATCATAATCGTAAACTCAGAATTGGGTTGGTAATAAATTGAATCTTACTGAAAGGAGACAATGAGTTGAACTTTCAGAAACATTTTTTTTTATTTATTTAGTAGTAGAACATTTTATTCAGATACAATTTTTACAATATTAAAAATTCTACTTATTCAATAAGTTCAATTTACATACACAAAATAATTACATTTAATGACTAAAATTTACAAATCAATTGAAAAAAATTTGTACGATAAATATTTACATAGTGCAAATGTATATATAACAAATGATTTGAAGAAAATGTAACTCATGAATCAGGTATAATTATGTAAGGCTGATAAGGAACAAGTTTTTCTTTTTCGTGACATTTGAAGATCCATTCAGGCTTTACAAATATCAAATCCTCATTTTCTGCTAAGGCCTGCAACCAAAAGAAACTTTTTAATAAATTTTTATTGGATAGCTCAATTTATGAGAAAAAGCAAATTAACTTTTATATAAAGAAGGTAATGTATGTACAAGGTTTAGAAGCTTGCTTGATTGTTCAATTTTGAAGCTTGCTTGACATTTCAATTTTGACAACAGTAAACCTATTCACTGCAACTTTGAACCAGGCTATCTAAGCAAACAGGCATTTATAAAGGGTTTGGTAAACAAATCATCTAGTCATCGCCAGGATTAGAACATTATTTACAAATTGTAACGGCAGTTAACTTTCAAAACTCTGATTAAACATCAATGCTGGGGCAGGCAAAAACAAAACCCACCACATTTAAGTAAAACATTTAATATTTTAAAATTTTTTCTTTCATCAATTTTGATGGGGCATTTGATGTTTGAATTCACTCACCTTCATGGAACTGGCATCAAAAAAGAAAAAAGAAGACAATGTTTCCTGGCTCGTACCCCCCAAACATCACTGGTACCAGAGCACCTGTCCAGGAGGTGCACTCAACATTCAGTGTGATCGCAAGGAACAGACGGCACTTACCAGGCTTATCAGCCGCCACCTAAGTCCCTTTCTTTCGAGGGTAGTGTTAAAATCTACCCAAACTGCTCCAGGTGCCACAACATGCAGGCTTCTCATCAACATATCCTGAACTGTCTTGGTCTGGACAAAAGGGACATTCTGAATAACCCACTTTTGGTGGCCTACTTCCTCCAGGTCATGAATTTCATGGACATTGTTTAGCCCTGCTAACTTTGGGGATAAGGAAGAAGAAGATGTTTGCAAACTGGGAAGATCAGAATGCTAAATATTTATGATTATCAAAGTTATAAACTAATACAATACTTTATTAAAGTAAAAATCTGTTGTCATCATTACTTGGTTTTTAGTCACATTCCTACGAATTCATAATTTTTTCAGTGCCCTTTTTTGTCTTATTCAGGGGTGATTGTGAGCCCAACTCAAAATATTAGTCTTTGTAAATTTAAATCATTGCTATTTTCAAAACATGAAATTCAAAATAAAGTTTACTAAAATCACTAATTACTCTTATTATTATTAAACACATAACTACAATAATAATAAATAAATGAATAATTAAAAAAAAACAATCAATTGGAAAAAGTATGCTTCATCTACAAATAAATTGTATGTTTGATTCAATATTTATGAGACGCAGTCATACCTATGCACGCACTAGTAATATTATAAATAAACAAATTCATAAAATAATCGACTGCAGAAACAAATTCTAATAAAAACGAGAAAGTTAGTGCTAAGCGATATTCTATTGACTAAAAAAAATAATTAAAGACGGATCTGTTTATACTGCAGGCAGGTTGCCAACAAAGAAGGAGAAAGTCTTTCGAAAAAAATATCAAAGATAAATAAACAGAATAAAGTTTAAATAAAAAATATCATTTGACAATATAAGTTCTTAACATAACTTGAAATGCCTGGACCTTGGAACTCCGGAAACCTCTAGATTGTAGTTGAAGAAAAATCCGGAAATTCGGATTTTTTCCGAAGCACAATCATCTCTGAACTTATTACTCTATGGGGTGTCTATATTTTGAATTGAAACTATGTAAGAATAAGAATTACTATAGAAGAATAAGTGAGACAAATATAATCAAGCAATGTAATAATAATTTTTCAAAATAAGCAAATTAGACAAAATTACCTATTTTAGAAAATAACTTTTCGTAAGTTAAGTATATTTATTCACTAAAATGGTTTTTTGCAGATTAACAAACAAAAAGAGACTCAAGCTGTTTGAAGAGCTGAATAGGTGAAGGTTTTAAGCTCCATTTTCATACATTTGAGTAAATCAGCTTTTTTACATTTGTGTCAAAAATAAGAAATAAAGATGATACCATATCTTTATTTCCTGTGAGTATGATTTCAATTGGCAAGATCTAAAATATTAATTTATTCCCAGTGGGTGTTTCAATTTACAACGAAAAAAAAAACATCTTATGCTTAAAAAGATTTTCACTGAGTGCCTTTATTCATTAAGATCTGGGAAATTTAAAGACTTGCATCAACAAATCAATGTCCCATAGTCAAATTTAGATTTAAATGAAATTGGTTCAATATTTTTCTTAGTTAAATAAAAATTCAAAAATGAAAAGTTCCAGAAAAATAAAAATACAACCTATTTTGGATTTTTTATGATTAATTCTAAGCTTAAAATGGTGTAAAAATATTTATTTTTAAATTTAATGATAAATACAATTTTAGCCGCCTTTCTGACTACAAACTGAACTATTTTTTTTATAAACAAAATTTCTTTCGCCATGTTTTAAAGGTCAGCAAATTAATCACGAAAGTTAACTGCAATCACTACTTGCAAATACAGGGCAGACACAAAAAAATCTTAAAATATAATCATAATTTATTTAATAAACACTTATTATTTATTGAAATTCTATGGTATTTTAATTGATTTGTGAAAATATTTGCTTATACGGAACACTGTCTTATTATACATTAGTTTCTTAGATAATTGGGTTTACTTTTCTCCATAAATAATGATTATACAGTTGAAATACTTTTATTTTCTTAAAGATACTGGGGTACCTTATAGTTTGTCTATGGAAAGAACTTCCCTCACCACATAGTCCAAGGCCATTTGCTGCCATGGAAACAGGAAATAGTGCATTTTAAGGAAGGGAGCTTCTCTCATCTTAGATTCCCTTTCTTTCGCAGACACCAAACAAAGCCTCTCTTAAATATTGCCCTAACACCCCTTATTGAAATAGTTAAACCTCATAACTATAATCCTCGTCCCTGATCTAGACAAATGACGAGCCCTTTGGCAGAATTTTTTCAGGCCTTCTGCGACAAAACTATCTAGCACTCATATCCTTCTGCAAGCTAGTTTCAATAATAACAAAGATGTATGTTATCGATTTAAATTAACAAAAAATGCTGCGTTTACAAAATATATATATATTTTTTCATTCAATATATAATATTTCTTTATTCTTATATTATGGGCGATATTATAGCATTTTGTTGGGGAGAAAACCGTACTAATTCCTTCCAATATTGCATTCCGAAAATCATCACATTAAAAAAATATTATTTAAAATCATGAAACCCTTAGCTGTAATTACCGAAAAACAAATTGACGACGAAGTCACTCGAATTGGACTCTTCAAATTTAAGTTCATGTTTCATTTCAAGATTTGATTGTTGCAATAAATAATATCGGATTTTAAAAACTATATGTAAGTCAAAAGCAATAATTGCCGAAAAAAATGATAGAAGTGTTGCCTTAAAAAGTAAATACTCGAATGCACGATTCGAATTTCCCATATAGTCTGAAATATATCAGGATAATTAAAAAACCATGTGAAAATCAATAACTGCCAAAAATATAATCGAACTTCTCTATGGATTTATGATACTATCGGCGTAAATTGAAGGCCACAATAAGTGATTATTTAATTGCGCAATTCACATTTTACGCGTAAATTTCTGCAGAAATGAAAACAATATTTGTTCTTCTTAAAAGAAAAATCTTTCTGCAAGAATGCTGTAACGTTCTGTGACAATGTCGCTGCGATTCTGCCACAAGGATGACGAGGGGGAATTCTTTCTATAAGAAAACTATAAGAAAAGGTACCTTATACCCAAACCTACCTGGGGTACTGGAATACTCACCAAAATACCTTCAATCATGTTAGGTATGCAGTTCTATTGATACATTTCTATATAGCTAACAGTGAGATGATTAAGTAAGGACTTAAACTGAATTAAATTATAAAAAGTCAAAAATAATCAACACTTTCAGTGAGTTATTTTTTTGAATTACAGAACAATAAAAAATGAGGAACATTCAAATTCAGAATAAAATACATGCATTATATCATTAGTCTATATTAGATTAAAATTTAATTAAAATTATAAATTATCAATGTATCTTACCTCTTCAAAGTTTGAGTCCCACTTTGACTCAGTTATGACATATTTGACAGAATCACTCATATAATCTTCAATTTTTCTAAAATTAGAAGAATTTGAAATCAAACAAAAAGATAATGTATTTTTATAATTCAATACTTTATCAAGATTTCAAATACAGTGAAGGAATAAAAGTGCAAAAATATTGAAAAAATAAATTAAATAAAATTTATAAAAATAGTTAAATTATCTAAAAGGGAAACTTTTCCATACTTTATAACAAAAAATAGATTATCAAAATACTAATATGCTTAGTTTCGTAAAAAAAGTAAATAAATAAATAAATAATATATACTGATCCTAACAACTATGAGAATGTTGGCATACGACAGATTTTTTACTCCCACAATTACATTTGTATGTATTTACGACTGAAATTTGAAAAAAATTAAAGCAATTTTTTTAAAATTTATGAAAAAAAGATTTATTCTAGGTAGGATTTTATAAACAGTTCAAATGCACGTAGCTTCGGAAAAAAAATTTCTACCTCTAGGTAGCATGAAAAGCATGCACTTACCAGGGAAGTAAACATACGATAAATTCCTATTGAAAATTTTAAAAATTACATTGTAGCTCTATTCCAGCTGATGACTTGGTTTAATTTTCATTTTTTAATACTGAAATTTGGGCTATATTTTTTTTTTTTTTCAATTTCTTCTTTAACAAAAACTTTTTTAATTACTCACTTTCTAAAGTAAAGTTGTTTTTTCCCCACTGAAGAAGCTTTAAGTATAAAGTACTTCATTAAAATTTATAAATGTTTTTACTTTAAATCTTATTTATTTTAATAACAAAGGAAAAGTAGATATTTTTCAGAAAGAAAATGGATATTATTATTTTGTTTGTTCTTCATTCAAAAAAACATTTTTCAGTCATTAAAAAAAAAGTTAAAATTAATAAATTTTAAAAAAATCAGTTAATAAAAATTTGTAATTTAAAAAATTGGAAGATTTCACACAAAAATATAAAAAAAGTTTGTGCATTTACATTTAAAATAAATAAACACATTTTTCAGTATTGGGCAATTCCACGAATGTGTCAACTTTTAAGTGAAATTTTTTTTTTATGAATTGCATATTTTAATTTTAAAAATATGTTCAAAAATAGCCAAAGTCTACATATTACTGTTTAATTNTAAATAAACACATTTTTCCCTATTAAGAATGAAAATTGAAAAACGTCATACGTTAGGGCAGAACCATAGTTCTCTTAACTATGAGTCAAACATCTTAACCATTCAGGCAAGCATGCTCACCTTTTTTATGTACTTATAACTTTAATAATAAATTAACTAAAAATTTGAAGCATCATATCTGCAAATTTTTTTCTAACCATATGTTTTAGACACTGCTAGTTAAATTAAGCTTTGTTTTATTTCAAAGTGAATTATACAGATGTGTATTTCCCTTGTTAGCAGAAATTGCTTAAAAGTAACATTTTAAAACAATGATTAATACATATTTGAGTAAACAAAGTAGTGTTTAACCTTACTTACCCATTATAGGCAGTTATATATCGCGTCAAATCGTGTGATTTGGACTGAGAAAAATTTCCAAACAAATAAAAATGTTTTGCTTTAAATAGATTTGGTAGTTCAGGCAAAGGTAAATGTGAAGTATCAGGTTTTGTCTGTAGAAGTGACCCTGACTCTTCATCTGACTCAAGACAGTCATCTCCTTCAAGACTGATAACCTCTGGAGAAAACTTTTCATTCTTTTGTTTTATTTCTTTTTCTATTCTGAAATCACAATAATGAAAGATGTGAACAAAAAAAAAACATGATCAAAAATGCTTCAAAACATTTCATAAAATAAAGTACTTTTAAAACAAAAAAACGCAATACAAAATGTGCCAAATAAATTACTCGAGCTAAAAATAAAGGAAAACTTTTTTATGAACTTGAACAGATTTGCAATTACCAACTTAAATCATGCAAACTACAAATTTGCAATAAAAATACAAAATTTTTAAAAAAAATTATTATTATTATAATGGAAAAAATATTATAATAAAAATATTATATGCAGGGTATCTGCTACATAATATCAGTGATAGGTATATATACTATACAGTATATATTATAAATACTACAGAGATTTTCAAATTCATGACTTTTCATGACTAATTCAAAGAATTTCTCATGACTTTACGAAGTTCCTATTTTCTCCGACAAAAACACAACAGTAAATTTAAAAAAGCATTATAATAGCATTGATTGAAATGATAGGTATAACTAAAACTGTTATATCCCGCATCTTCATATTTATAGATTTTAAATTTAAAAAATAGAGCAATGAAAGAGTTGAAGCAATAAACTAGCTGAAAAAAATACAAAAGTAAATAATTTTTCTTCTTTTTTTCTGCAGAATTATATTCTACAGATACTTTTCTTGATTATCGAAAAGGAAAGAAATACTCCTGATTTTCCTGTTCTCATTTCGGAATTAAAAAAATTCACCAATGACTGGCTTGTTTCAGCTAGAATTTTAAATTGATAAAATAAAAAAAATTACAATAACAAAAATTCTGAAATCACATAAGTTTAAAAGTTACTTTAGAAATTATGTTTTTTCCTTCATTTTTTGAAAGAACAGTAATTATTAAAGAACATGATAAAAACATTTTATATTTTAATCAAATATGACTGTGATTGGGGATTTTGTTAGAAATTCAGATATTTGAAACACCATGAAATTGGAGGGGAGGGGTAAAATCCATTTCGAAAATTAGACTTTTTTGCGGCCTAAATCCATGAATTTCCATGACTTTTTTTTAAAAAATAGTTAAAATCATGACATTTCATGACAATTTTTGCTCAATACCAAAATTCATGATTTTTCATAACTTTCCAGGTGCGGGGATACCCTGTATATAATAAAATATTACATAATAAAAAATATTATAATTATTATAATCATACTATATTAATTAAATACTATATTATAATAAAAACTATAATACTATATTATAAAAAACTACAATACTCCTTTTTTAACATTTCAGTTTAGAGTTTTGAGGTGATATTTTAACGTCTTATTTGAAAACAATTTTTTTTCCAAATATATAAAATAATGTGCGACAGAAAATTACTATAGAAGTACAAATTAAAAGCTTTTATAGAACCATTCACTATTGATATTACTTTCATTTTTTTCACTATATCTGCATCAATTTTCTGACTTATTTTCTAATAAAAAGTTTTCAGACTATCCAGAATAACAATTACGAGCAACAATGTCAATATATTAGTAAGGACCCAGATGAGAAAAATATTTGGGCAAAAAAGATTACTTTTCTATGGCTTAAAATTTAAGTTAAGTTAATAAATATGAATACAAAATCACAATTATTCCTAAATAATATCTGATTGCACTATACAATAGCTATAATTTACAAACATATAGACTACAAATAAAATAAGTTTTGCATTATTTCTTATGTTTTTAAAAAATTTGAAACAAAAGACCATTTTTCATTAACCATTTACAAATATCGCCTTTAATTCAAAGTATAAATTTAAATTCCCATTAAAAAAATTATACTTCAAATGATTATTTGAACATAACAGTACATACATTTTTATTAAGTTTCAAATAAAAGCCTTTTCCAGACCTAAAATTGTTGTTTCAGCAGAAATAATCTCATGACACATTTGAATTTCAAAACTAACAAATTTGTGAAAAGTTGAACAGAATAAAGCCAATGTTAAGTAAAAACAATAATGACTATTTTTATCAAATGTACTGAAGAAATTTAAATTTTTTCAGGCTTTTGGTAAACATATTTATTTTTTTCAGAATAAAATCTAAATTTTTAATCCAATAATAAAACCCCCAAGTTTTTCAAGTTCGCTAAATTTACTCAGGGGAGCAACCTGTTAGGTGAAACAAAAAAAAATATAGGTTTAAGTGCATAGTTAAGCAATTATTAAAAATGCTAAAAAGGTATTGAATCGTATAATTACTAAATTTGAAGAAAAATTAGTGTTTGTGTTTATTTAATGTCCCTCAATATAGAAAATATACAACTCACTTTCGAATTTCATCTTCAGTATCACCTCCAGAATCTTCTTCTTTGTCAGTATCAGCTAAATAGTCTTCAATAGCATCCTCATCCTCAGTCTCACTCTCATCATATTCATCCGTAAGGACTCTTTTACTATTTGTTTTATCCGCTTTTTTTGGAGCAGGGGATGGCAATGGGCTGTTTGTTTTAGCAGAGCCTTAAATATTAAAAAAAAGTGCAACCTTTATTGTAACTGAATTCTCACTTATATAAAAAAAAAATTAATGTCCCTATTCTGATTTAAATCAACTTTTATTATATATACTGAAAAATGACTTTTGATGTCCGAAGCAAAAAGTTTGTTAAAACAGAACAAAAATACATAACTATAAATTTTTTAACTCTGAAAAGATAAATGGTGAAAAAATAAATGCAATCTATTTTCATTGACTTTATATTAGCTAGTAATAAGCAATTTAACTCTTCTATCCATTTGAAAAGTTTCTTTTTTTTTTACTTTTTTTTCTAAATTATGAAAAATTTCTCTTTAGCTTGATTAAAACTATTTTAATAAAAACTATCACACTTTATTTCGGTACTGTTTTTTATTATTGAGATATTTTCGCTGTGTTGTAACAATAGAAATGCTTTATGCCTCTGCTGAGAAAAAAATAAAGGAAAAACATTTGTGGTGTCAACTTCAACATTTTCAATTAATTAGGATGAAAAACATTTTAACAGCAAATGAGATTTTTGTGCTAAACTCACAAAAAGAGATAAGTTGGATTGTTAAATCTGTAACTGAAAGGTTATTGATAAAAGCTACAAATTAGAAAGTACTTTTTCTAAGAATTATGGTATCCCACAAAAATTTTAATCATAAATATTTCCAAAAAAATATAATACCTTGAAGTCCTAAGATTTTGAAAGAAAGAAAATTTAAAATTTTATCACATTTCTCATGACATGAATTAGTAATCTTGTATCAAACTCCATGTGCTGGGTAAATTTCATGTGTTGGATAAAATTCCATGTGCTGTATCATATACTAATACTATATCATTAATAACATATTATTCATGTAACTAATCCTTTTAAGATCGTTAGTAAAAGTCTAAATAATCAAGTTCCATTTTTGTTGATTTCAATCGGGAGGAAAAGAAAACAAAAAGTTATCTATTTATAACACAATCACATTAAAAGTTCTAATTAAAAATCTATGCGTGTGAAGTAATTATATTAATTATCTGTGTGTAACATAATTATCAAAGAACAATATTTTAAATTTAAAAAAAAAATGAAAACAATACAAGATATTTACCATTAAGAACTGGACTAGTTATTTTCCTCATTGGTTTTGGTTTAACTACTTCCTCTTCACTTTCAGATGATTCAGAACTGTCCCTTGCATACCTTCCTAGCATATACCTGAAATATAATGAGAATAACTTAACAGTATTTCATACTTGAAAAATTAACTACAAATTTGTTATAAGTTTGAAAAATAGTTCCAAAAAAAATTTTTTTTTCAATTACTTTTTCTGAATTTGATCTTTTATTTCTTTTAATTCACTGACAAAATTTCTATAAATTGAAGATGAAAATACACCATGTATCAATTTTGTTCAATGTTGTCAGTTGGTAACTACTAAAAAGTTTATTACAACACTTTTCGGTGGTAATTGTGGGTAGTTAATATATTGAAAGACTGATTGATTGATCGAATTTAGGGTTTAGTGGCACAAGGTCCAGATGAGGACATGCTGCGCCAAACATGCTGCGCCAATAAAAACAATAAAAACAATAAATTTAAAATCCTAAGTGCATACAAAATTTAATTTTAACACAATTACAATTGATAAAATAGTACTAGTAGGTGATTAAGACAAGATAATCTAATTAAAATCAGATAAAAGGTATGAATAAAATCAGATAAAAAGTATGAATGCAGTATAAAACGCACGAAGTGAGTAAAATGTACAAAGGTGGTAAGATATTTACAAGAGTGTATAAAACAGTAGATGTGTTAAAACTTTTATATGCTGTTAAAAATGCCAACGACACGTAAAAATGCAAAAATGTTAGGATGGTGAATGTCATCCAACAAATCTTGAATGCATAAAATGGAACTCCTAAATAACTTTAAACGATGTTGATTAAAACAAGGTCAGTTCATTAAAATATGATGAATTGTGAGAGGAACGTTACAAGTACTGCATTCAGGGGGAGATATTGAAAGACTGATGAAACACACTAGGGACAAACTTTAAAATAGTCCTGAGTAAATATTTTTATCAGAAATTAAATTTAAAACATAATGATTTCCTGAATTCTATATTCTAAAATTATTCTTGGCATGACAGGTAGTCAAAAACGTCCCTTAATACATAAGAAATTTTGATAAGGATTCTTTTACATTCTCCCCCCTCCCCCAATTTTATTCTTTATTAAATCTGATCTTTAAATTTTCCCAAAAGATGTTTGTGGTACTATCCACACCTGCAGCTTTATTCTTCTCATTCATAAACAGCAAACTGGAATTTAAGATTCATTCGAATTGGAGCGAAATTGGAGTACCATCAGTTTAGTTTTAAACACTTCGTACAGGGCAACGATATAGGTTTTGAAGTTAAACAAATAAATTGAAGGGAAAAAATACTCTAGAACTTTATCCAGACTTAAAGAGAAATAATTAAGAAAAACTTACTTCTTCCAAGGCAACAAGGCACGTTTCTTGTGACAATCAATAATCCAGTCTTTAGTGACAATTTTCCCATTTTCGTCTTTAACTTGAACGTATTTTGGGGTATTTATAAATGCACAACTAAGATAAGAAATAAGTATTAATATATGCTTTTTAAGTTGATTAATGAAAAAAAAATAATATGGATAATTTTTAAAAATGTTGAATACAGAAAAAGTCATCCAATAGCTTCTAGTAGATTTTTGAAAAATTTCTGAAAGCTGATCTTTTAAATACATACATCTCGAATACATGAATATTTAAATATAGAATAATTAAAGTTTAGCAAATATGTTATTTCACTACTCTTTTACTTTAATTTTGAATTATTTAGTTGATTTCCTAGTTTTTTCGAAGATTCCATCAATTTATATTCCTGTATAGAGCTTACACTTGATTCCTTCCACACTACTGTAAAATGTTTTTGTTTTGTTTTGTTTTTTTACATAATAACATACTTTATTTTAGAAACAATCGAAGCCATTATAGCAAAACTAAAACACTGGCTGTAATCAAAAAACAAATTAAACAAAAAAAATCTTTTTTTTTTCCTTCTGATTTCTACAGATAAATCAAAGAACTTAACTTACAAAATAGTTATTTATTGCTGATATAAAAAGATAAATTCTATGTTTAAAAAAAATTTAAATAGACTTCAGTTAGTGGAATTATTTGAATAATCAAGATTTTCAATAATTGCGAATATAAAAGCAACTTGGTGGCAACAAATTAATTTAGTTTATTATGGGTGACACAAAATTAGTTCAGAAATCTTTTACAGAATACTTGAAAATTGAGCAAGAGAAATTATTAAGGAAAGCAAGACGTTTTCAATGTCGAAAAAATTATTTTTTCAACCATATCGACAAGCCATTTTTTCTTAATATTAAACACATTTTAAAACTTCAAACTTTACATTTATGAAAACTACATATTAATATCATTAAATAACAATAAAAAGGAATTGAAAATTTAATGTATATATAATTTTTTTTTAACCAGACATAGCTTTCGGTACGCTCAAAAAATTTTCTACATGAAATATCAACAAAAAATTGGCATACACTCATGTAAATATGTTTGAAAAATCAGGTGAAATAGTTTGTTTCATAATATGTACAGAATATATTATATATAAGCAAAATAAATGTAGTATTTCTGAAAAAAATGCAAAATTTCGTTCAAATTTTGAAAAACTTCCCCTGTATAACAAAATTATAATGAAAAAAATAAACTTTATATAGTTAATTAAATGTAAATAAGGTATATGTACAAGCATAGAAATTTTCCTAACTTTACAATGATTTGTTTTTTGTACGAGCGTACCGAAAGTTATGACTGGTAAAAAAAAATTATATTTACATAAAATTTTCAAATATTTATAAAAATTAAATTTATAAACATTTTAAATTCCTTTTTATTGTTATTGAATTATATTAATATGTAGTTGTCATAAATGTAAAGTTTAAAGTTTTAAAATGTATTTAATATTAANTGGGTGACACAAAATTAGTTCAGAAATCTTTTACAGAATACTTGAAAATTGAGCAAGAGAAGTTATTAAGAAAGTGAAAAAGCAAATATGTATGGTATTATGATACAATTTTAAAATTACATTATCAAATAATCAATATATTTTATCAATTTCAATGAAACAATGTTTTCATTTTTTTAATTAATCTCATTTAATTTCTTAACAACAACATGCGTCAATTTTTTGTTAAAAATTCATACTCATACTTACACAAGATGTGTACAAGTGCGATCCCAGTCTCCTTTATATTTGGCACCCATTTCTAATGCTTTGTCACGTATTTCACTTCTTAGTGGATTGACAAAACCACTTATTACAAAAACAACTCCCTTCATCAATTCTTTGAAAGGGGGTTTAGAATTCGTTCTATCTACAAAAAAATTATTACATTGTAATGCTTAAAAAATAAATACTTAGTAAAATTAAAAAATAACAAATGATCTGTTTTTGTGAAAAAAGTAATTGACAAAATTAAAAAAAATTTTGTTTTCAAATTTTCATTAAAAAAATACAGAAATACATAAATTTTTCTCACCCATCTTTGATTGGCACTTTGATAAAGTCCTCGATATTTATGAAATTTTCAAATATTTTAAGAATAAAGTCTTAAAAATAAGTTAAATTTCCGCATTTCACTTTAAGAATTATTGTGAACAATTCTGATAATAATCATATCAGAGCATTAAAATTTGACTCATAACAAATGTCTATTTGCTAAGAAATAAAAATTTAGCCAATCGCTTTAAAATATGAAGAAGAAAAAAATTTTAAAATAGTTAGAAAAAATTTTAAAGTTGAAGGATAAGAACACATTAGTCATATTTAAGTACATAAAAAAGGTAACAAGAAGAAAGAAATTTTCCACACCCTTCATTCAAGAAATGATAAACAACTAAACTTTCTGAACAAAAAAAGTTTCTTAAACTTCTTTTTAAACAAATTTTGTGTTATCATTTCTTTATCAATTTTCAACTGTTATCATTTTTCAGAAAGCTTGTATAGATTCCATTTCAAACTTATCTACTTTAGGTTGTTTTAAATAGCAAAATATGAATTGTCTGATTATATCTATGCATAAAAATTGTATCAAAATATTAATAAGATGGCCAGAAACACAAAAAAAAATCTGCTGAATTTTCCTTTTCCTTTTTTTTTAATCTAAAGGCATTAATATTATAAATCATTTATTTATGCCTCATGTTTAGATATTACAAAACACTTTTACTTGTTTTTAGAGCTGAAAATAAACTTTTTTTTTTAAAAAAAATTTCAAGTCTAATTTTTTTCAAGTCAAGACTTTTTGTGAATTTTAAATAAGAGTGCCATAGATTTTTTCTCATTTTCCAGAATGATAAAACTCTATTTTCCCTGTTCTGAGCCGCCCTGATTCAAATAATAGCAAATGAATACCAATGAATAATAATGGAAACATGGAAGTTTACTAAAATGTGAAATTTTTACATCAAATAATTGTAATAAATGTTAGAATTATTTAAATCGAATCTCAATAACTAATTTCCCATTATTGACAATTCAAAGACTGGTCGTTTTCCAGGCATGATATAGGAGTTTACCAGATTTTTGTAAATAATTATAACTTTCCCTGACTATTCCCTGCCTTTTAGAGTTAAATAATTTATTTAATTTAATTATAACAGAAAAAATAATGATTAAAAAAAATGAAATTTATATAATTAAAGAAATTTTAAAAACTAGGAAATACGTAATACCAATAATAATGGCATCATAGCTATCCTCAAGCAAGGAAAAGTAGAAAATGAAATAATTAAGTTACTTAGACTAGTCACTTCTTGTAAATATTTGGTTAGATAGACTTTCTACACATATAAGTTTGATTCTCATGGGTTTTCATTGCATCCAGTTATGACAAAAAATCAAGGTGACTTTAGTTAGGACACCTGTACCAGTAATATCAAGTATAAAGGATTAATTTTGCTTCAAAACTCTAGTTATAATAGCAGATCTATTTAGATTAATCACCAATTATAATAGGGCCGGGATAGCCTGGTTGGCAGGACTCTCGTTCATGAGAATAGACGTTCGAATCCTGCCAGCCGGTACAGGATTGGAGATTGATAGTCCTATGGTTTAGATCAAAATTATTATCTGTGGATAAATGAATGGACGTATAAATGGGTCCACTCTATAAACGGATGTGACGTATGGGTGTGGTAGAAGTCAAATTCTTGGCCATAGATGGTGCCACTGGAAAACAAGAACAATCGTATCCCCCACTGCCTTAATGGACTACGACAACAACCAATTAAAATAAAACAGGATAGGATGCCTGAGATAAAAACAAATAATTTACTAACATTTAAGTTAACTGCTATACTTAAATAATAGTATAATAAACATGATACACTAAAACTGTTAAGAAAAAATTTCTAAAATTAAAACATGCATGAAAGACAACAATACCAATAATTCTGAACAAAATATATCCATTTATCGTAAAAAAAGATTTATTCTATTTCTATGATGCAATTTTTATGAAACGAAACATACTTAACAGAATTAAACTTTTTTCTGATTATTCACTTATTGTTTTTTATAGTCCTTTCCTTTTTTTTTTTCGTAAACATGCTAGTCTAATAATATTACGTTCAAATGGGATGATGTGGTAAATATTAGTTCATTGTAGTTAAATATTAAATGACCAAATGAAGATAAAATACAAATAAAAAAACATATCAATAAAAATTCATACCTTTAGTCAATGCTTTAGAGGCCTCTATCATTTTAGAAACTGGCTTTCTTGAAGTAGTTGGTGAATTTGAGTTAGATGTATTCAAACCAAAAATATCTTTGGGACCAAATTTTTCTTTCTTAGATTCATTAGAATTTGACTCCTCTGAGTTTTTGCTCCCCAAAATATCCCTGTAACCGACTTTCGCCTTGTTTACTCGAACTGAAGGTGATTCCTTTTTTGCAGGTTTTTCAAGATCCGAATCTATATATTTTCTCTTCACTGGATTCTAAATAATAAAAAAAAAGGCATTTATAATATAAAAATTTACGAAAAATAACATATATAAAATATTAATAGATCACTGGCATGTGCATACAGTAATTGAAAATCAATATGAATGGAAAAATCAGAGCTCATTTTAATTATGTTATAGGATAGATGTCCAACTTAAGGATATCCATCAGTTATGATTAGGGCTGCAAGTTTGTCGCGGGAAAAAAGACCCCAAATTCGCGGAAAAATAGCGGGAAATTTTGAAAATTACACAAATTCTAAACATAAAAAAATTTATTATATAAATGATACAAAAGACAGAAATTGCGCAAATAATAAAAAAAGCTTAAAAATACACAACAAAAGTATTTCTTTGAATTTCAAGCAATATTAATATTTTTATTTAAATGAACAGAATTTTCGTACAAAGTATTGTACATTGTCAGATTATTCTCATTTATCTTTCGACTTTCATCACTTAATACATTTTTACACTTAGAAAACGATCTTTCTGCATCAACGCTGTTTTTAGGTACCGACAAACTTCGAATTGCCACTTTTGCCAATTTAGGAGCTTTCGATCTTTGATTTCCAAAACTCGATCAATTTTCCTTCACCAACGCGCAATTCCTTGACCGTTGCTTTGCAAGAAGTAATTGCTGTGAAAACTCAAACATTCTACATTCAAACTACTAGTTACAAGTCCCTACTAACTACTAGTCCCCCCCCCCTTCATCTCGAAACTGATCCATATTTAAGAAATCACAAGAAGTCGTCTAGGAAAAATTATCTGGATATGTAGAAAGGCAGTAGAAATTTCATTGCCCAGTGCAATAGCAAGTATAACAATTTTTCTGTCTAAGATTTGATTTATAACATTTTCCTTCTTTTGTGATTCCAATTTCTTTCGTATTCTTACTGACTTCAGGAAGGTAATTACCCTCCTTTGGTGTAGAAAGACCACCTTAGTTGACGACATTGTGATTATCTCTTATCTCTGAACTATTTTCATGTCATTTTGCTATTGATTCACTCCCCTAAATATCTAATCAATTTTACATGTTCAACTTAAGGTTCACGAAAATAAAAAAAGTCTGTTTAATAAAAATAATAAATTTAAAAAAATCACATTTTAAGCAATTTTTGCGCAAGTCAAGACATATTGAGAAATTCGCGGATTTTAGGAAAAAAGATGACAATTTCGCGAAATCATCGCGGAAATTCGCGCTGCGACAAACCTGCAGCCCTAGTTATGATTCATAATTACTCATTCACATACTTGAATACAATAGAAACCTGCAAAATCGGAATTCTGGGTTATCCAAACTGATTTTATTTTTCCATAATCACAATTGAACAAAATATTTTAAAAAATATTCATATGTAAAAATACAGGAAAAAACAAAATATATTTTCCCAGCTAGAAATGGTTTGATTATCGACTTTAATGGTTCGATTTGATAAATTAGACTGAAAAAACTGGTCAGGTTTCTATTGAAGTGATGTTATCCTTGATAATTAGTCAATATTTCACTAACTTATGAATAAAAGAATAAAGCTAGTATGCTAAACTAATGTACACTAAAGTTTAATTTTAGCTATGTTGGTACTTAACAGTTTTCTTTTTATACTTATAACAGAATTTTGGAAAATCCAGATTTTTCCAGATTCTATAAGATACATGTTCAAATTAGTCTGTGGTAACATGAGAAATGTTAAAAAAGTAATTAAGTTTTCCTCAAATATTTCATCCTATCAATAATTATCAGAAAAAATGTGTCATTAATATGCTTTATCAACTAACTGAGAATTTATAAATTTATATTGAATCAATTTAATGATTCTTCAGTCAACTGTAATTGTCAGCAGACACTGATTTTTTTTTTTTTTCCTGGGGGGNGCATTAATATTATAAATCATTTATTTATGCCTCATGTTTAGATATTACAAAACACTTTTACTTGTTTTTAGAGCTGAAAATAAACTTTTTTTTTTAAAAAAAATTTCAAGTCTAATTTTTTTCAAGTCAAGACTTTTTGTGAATTTTAAATAAGAGTGCCATAGATTTTTTCTCATTTTCCAGAATGATAAAACTCTATTTTCCCTGTTCTGAGCCGCCCTGATTCAAATAATAGCAAATGAATACCAATGAATAATAATGGAAACATGGAAGTTTACTAAAATGTGAAATTTTTACATCAAATAATTGTAATAAATGTTAGAATTATTTAAATCGAATCTCAATAACTAATTTCCCATTATTGACAATTCAAAGACTGGTCGTTTTCCAGGCATGATATAGGAGTTTACCAGATTTTTGTAAATAATTATAACTTTCCCTGACTATTCCCTGCCTTTTAGAGTTAAATAATTTATTTAATTTAATTATAACAGAAAAAATAATGATTAAAAAAAATGAAATTTATATAATTAAAGAAATTTTAAAAACTAGGAAATACGTAATACCAATAATAATGGCATCATAGCTATCCTCAAGCAAGGAAAAGTAGAAAATGAAATAATTAAGTTACTTAGACTAGTCACTTCTTGTAAATATTTGGTTAGATAGACTTTCTACACATATAAGTTTGATTCTCATGGGTTTTCATTGCATCCAGTTATGACAAAAAATCAAGGTGACTTTAGTTAGGACACCTGTACCAGTAATATCAAGTATAAAGGATTAATTTTGCTTCAAAACTCTAGTTATAATAGCAGATCTATTTAGATTAATCACCAATTAAAATAGGGCCGGGATAGCCTGGTTGGCAGGACTCTCGTTCATGAGAATAGACGTTCGAATCCTGCCAGCCGGTACTGGACGGGAGATTGATTGTCCTCTGGTTTAGATCAAAATTATTATCTGTGGATAAATGAATGGATGTATAAATGGGTCCACTCTATAAACGGATGTGACGTATGTAGATGTGACGTGTGGTAGAAGCCAAATTCTTGGTGCCACTGGATGGTGCCACAGGAAAACAAGAGCAATCGCATTCCCCACTGCCTTAATGGACAACGACAACCAATAAAAATAAAACAGGATAGAATGCCTGATATAAAACAAATAATTTACTAATATTTAAGTTAACTGTTATACTTAAATAATATTTTAATAAACATGATACAATAAAACTGTTAAGAAAAAATTTCTAAAATTAAAATGTGTATGAAAGACAATAATATTAATAATTTTACAAAAAAATATATCCATTTATCATGAAAAAAGATTTATTCTAATTCTATGTTACATATTTTTCTGAAAAGAAACTTACTTAACAGAATTAAATTTTTTTCTGATTATTCATTTTATACTTTTTTTTCTTTTGCAAACATGCTAGTCCAATACTATTGTATTAAAACAAGTTGATGTGGTAAATATTAGTTCACTGTAGTTAAATATTAAATAACCAAATGAAGATAAAATAAAAATAAAAAAACATATCAATAAAAATTTATACCTTTAGTCAATGCTTTTGAGGCCTCTATCATTTTAGAAACTGGCTTTCTTGAAGTAGTTGGTGAATTTGAATTAGATGTATTCAAACCAAAAATGTCTTTGGGACCAAATTTTTCTTTCTTAGATTGATTAGAATTTGAATCCTCCGAGTTTTTGCTCCCCAAAATATCCTTGTATCCGACTTTCGCCTTGTTTACTCGAACTGATGGTGATTCTTTTTTAGCAGGAGGTTTTTCAATATCAGAATCTATATACTTTCTCTTCACTGGATTCTGAATAACAAAAAAAAAAGGCATTTATAATCTAAAAAATCAAAAGTTAATTTAAGAAAAAATAACCTATATAAAATAACATTAATAGATCATTGGCATGCGCATACAGCAATTGACGATCAATATGAAAGGAAAAATCAGGGCCCATTGTTATTATATTACAGGATAAAAGTCCAACTAAAAGATATCCATCAGTTACGATTTATAATTGCTCATTCAAATACTTAAATACGATAGAATCCAGCAAAATCAGAATTCTGGGTTATCCAAAATGATTTTATTTTTCCATAATTACAATTGAACAAAATACTTTTAAAAATATTCATGCGTAAAAATAGGAGAAAAAGCGTTTTTCCAGCTTGAAAAAAAATTTTACCTACACATTAATGGTTCAATTTAATTAATTAGACTGAAAAAGCTGGTCAGATATCTGTTGAAGTTATCCTTGATAATTAGTCAATATTTCAATAGCTTAGGAATAAAAGAATAAAGCTAGTATGCTAAACTAATGTACACTAAAGTTTAATTTTAGCTATGATGGTACTTAACAGTTTTATTTTGCCTACGAGCTTTCTTTTTATATTTATAACAGAATTTTGGAAAATCCAGATTTTTTCAGATTCTAGAAGATAATGTTCAAATTGGTCTGTGGTAGCATGAGAGATGTTAAAAAAGTAATTAAGTTTTCCTCAAATACTTCTTCCTATCAATAATTATCAGAAAAAATGTGTGCTTTATCAATGTCAATTTATAACTTTATATTGAATCAATTTAATGATTCTTCAGTCAACTGTAATTGCCAGCAGACACTGATTTTTCTTTTGGGGCTAGAGAAATTGACAAAAAATTAGAAAAGAACACTTGCCTAAGGAAAAAAGGTATTGACAAACAAGAAAACCCATTACTTTTAATCACTTTTATATTTTAATTGCTAATATACATTTTCAAAACCTATTGAGAAATATTTTGAACACTTTGTAATACAGATATTATAGTAACTGAAATACTAAATAAATGCTTTCAATGTTCATAATTCTTTTTTAAACTACAACTATCATAAAACCATTTACTTAGCTTGAGGAATATCTACATAATTAATGTTTCTTCCAAAATGTTTAAGTGAGATTCGTCGAATTATTAGAAATATATATTTTATATCAAAAATCAGCATAATCACTAAATATAATGCTTGTTTCATGCAATTTATATTTTCAAACATACTGTTATTCAAAAAGAAATAAAGAATTAAATTTCTTCCTCCCTAGCTGAACTAGATACAAATTTTATATTCATACATGTTGTGTGCTTTATTTGGGTAATATTTCAGAAAGTTTTGATTGCGTTATTTTTAACTACACTATTAGTAAAGGCAAAATAATTTACCAATTTATCTGTCCATTTTAGAACTGCTGTAATGCTTTTACACAGAGTTAGGTCAACACAGTATTGTTTGTGATGCTTTATGATTGATGTGTGCATAGTAAAAATCAGATATTTCAAACATTGCTCCCTGCCATTTTTAAGAGCAAAATAATATGTAACAAAAATAACCAATAAATAACAAAATTATAATATCACCTTCAAAAGAAACAAATTGTAACACAGTTTAAGTCAGTCTATCTCATTTTAACATGTTTCAACAAATACAACTTGTTAAAATAAAAGTTTAGTCAAGTAAATTGATTAAAAAATAAAAATGACTGGATTAAGAAATCAAAACTTATATAAAAGAGACAAAAAATTAAAAGCAGATATCACTTTTAATAATAAAAAATTTTATTATTTAAACAAATTTATACCTGAGAAGTAGTCTTGGAGGAATCGTTTGAAGACAAAACCATTGCAGCATAAGATGGTGAATCTTTATCAGTTTTTTCTAGAATTACATAGGGGGGGGAATTAATAAATTGGTTATATTTTGTAATTTAAGATATTGATAAAACTAACTAAAAAGATAAAGAGATAGCTAAAATGATGAATGATAGTTTTTTAGATGAATGATAGTTTTTTTAAAGTAAATAAACTAGTGTTTTAAGCTATTGGAATATGTAAAAAAAATATAATATTTAAAAAATATAATACTCAATAAAATGTCATATTTATAAGGATATCATCTTAAAAGTAGCAACTAAAGAAGGTAATGAAAGAACTATTAATATATTAGCTGATATTTTGATATTTTAAAAAAAAATTCTTGAAAGAAATTTTAAAAAAATATTAAGTTTGCCTTTGTGGAGGACTTTTTTGAAGGAGCTAACATGCATTTGTGTTACATAGAGAGGAAGACCACAAGAACCTCCCACGGTTAGCCTGACAGCAAGGGGACTCTAAGCCATGATCCGTCTACCACTGAGGATATTTCACGTCAGCACTGTGGTCAGTGCAAGCTGGATTCGGAATTCGTATCGACTGGGATTCAAACCCGGTTCGCCTCATTGGAAGGAGAACGTTCTATCCCCTGAGCCATCGCGGCTCCCACCTTATCATTTGATAGAAAACAAGGAAATACTTCCTTGTCCTCCCACAATGCACAAAAAAAAATAAAGCAGCAATGCATACCTGAAAGGCACAAAGCCCTACGGATTGATCATCTGCCAAATATCTGAATAAATGCTTCGTTTATGACCTCAATGACTAGATTTCTGTTCTTTTTTAACCCAGCTGTGCTAAATACAGTCACCAAATTTATTAGAAGTTTTCAGTGGGAAAGAGTAATTGAGAGCATTTATGGCATCATATCAGCTTGTGGGGTCTCAAAACCAGTATCAACCAAATGAAAAGATAAAAAGACGCCACAGTCCAAAATATTCCACATGAACAGTATCATTTTCTCATCTTTCTTTTCAAAGATATAGGAAGGTGACAGGAGAATGATTGATTCTTTAGTGGGGAAATAGCTTAACAATATTTTTAGTTGGGATAAGGCGAAAAATTTACATGCTTTAAAAATGATGGAAAGTTGTATAGTTTTTTCCTTAAAATTTAAAGCAGAAATAGTAATTTTTTTTCTTCCAAATTTAGAAAAATCGGTGTGTGGGTAGAAGAAGAGATTGAAAATACCGTTTCAGGCCATAAATGACTGTCAGCATTAAGTTACGGGAGTGTTCAAGGTACATAATGTTTTATTCATAGAAGATTAGCAAGAATTAAAAATACAGTTAAGCCTGCCTGTTCATCTCAAACTTCTTTAACACAAAAACCTCTCTATCTCAAAATTTCTAAAATTCCTTACATTCACTATTTAAAATCAATGCATTTTCTATTTCCATCTCAATTTTTTTTTTCAAAACCTCTGTTTCTCGAAATTCTAATAATCAAGCGCAAATGCCCAAACAACATAACAAACAAAGAAGGTTAGACATCAAAAATCTTTAATAAGATTATTTTCAGTGTTAAAGGTATGTTAAAAATTTTATGTAAATAGATATATGTGGTATAATTAATTTACAGAAATGTCTACATTTTTCGACTAAAAACAATTCAAGCACTTTTAATCGAATTTCTTATTAAATTTAATTAAGTACCTTAAGTGTCTTAATTAAATACCTGTATAACTTAAAACCTCGTTATCTCAAATTTTTCGCCTTTCTCGTGAGATTCCAGATAAACCGGCTTGACTCTATGTGCATAATGATAGGCATCCATTTTGTAGAAGTGTTCATAACGAAAGGTTTCACATATATATAGATAGATAAAGAAGATAACAGGACCCATCAAAAACAAATCCAATGAAGCCTGAATAAAAAGCAATCTACAGGCAAATACTTACTTAATGAAGAATTGATGACTTTATTCTTCCTTTCAAGCCAAGAGCCTACAGGCGGTGAATCGTCTTCTTCATCGTCATTGTACTTTATTTTGAAGGCACCAAGTTTTGCTGTAGTCTATAAAAATGAATTTCTATACATAAAAACTAGTGAAATTATTAAATATAAAAATTATATTTTTATCTATAAAATTCAAAATATATAATAATACTAATATCAATTAGTTATCCATTAAAACAGAAATGAAAGGGAAAAAAAAAGATTTTTACACTTCAGTTAGAGCCTGACAGTAAAAAGATACAACAAAAAAGAATATTTAAATTCTTACAGTTTTCGAATCAGGTTCCACTGGACGTTCAGCAATCTTTTCTGGAGGTGATAGGAATTTGATGAAACTCAATCCGTAAGTTATATTCTAAAAGTAAACATGAGAGTTATAGATTTTCTCAATCAGGTTAAAATATACAATAAAGCAATGTATAACACTAAAAAAAAATTAAAAAAACAAGAAATAATTTTAAATAATCCACAATATTTTCCAAAAGCGAATGTAATAAAATTTTATTTGTAAGTTGAATGCTAAGATTAAAAGATTGGTGTTTTATTTTTTAAAATTGTTTCATATTAAATAATCATAAATTGTATTCAAAATAATAAATTTTAATAGTAATAAAATGTATTCATAAGAATGAATATGTTGTTTAAGACAGAGGTGGCAGTCTGTCACATTAATACTAGAAAAAACCTTTTTTAATTTTTTCATTATCAAGCATATAACAAAATTCATCAGAGAAAGAAATTATTAATATAACACATTCTTTGATTGGCAAAAGAAACTTTTTTAAAAGTTTTACAGCTATTTTTCGGCAAAAGAAATAACCATTTTTAAAGACCCACAGTTTTAGGTTACCAAACAGAATCAAGCTAAAATATCATAGATTTGAAAAGAATACATTATTTATAAAGGCTACTTTTATAGTAATTTTGCTTCAATATTTTTGACTTCATATAATTATGCACTCTGTTATGATATATGCTTATGATTTCTATTTTTCCAATCAACTCCCTAAAAATTCCCTTTTCGACAACGTAAGTTGTTTGATGACAATAGGAATGTTCTCAAACCTTATTTTTCTTGTAGTGGATCCAGTTTTTCACTTTAGCATCCAGCTTTTCGTGAAAAGCTCTGCAAGAAGAATCTTATGTCGCATACGATTTTTCAAAGACAAGATTTTGCTGATCACTTAGAAAAAAAGAATTATATGTTATTTAACATAAAAGCCTCATACATTCACGAAGAGTGATGTTTGTTCCAAGATTCCATATGAGGAACTGCACTACATAAAAACTAAACCATGAACCATTAATTATTTCATATATTGATCCACTATAGCTGTGCTTCGTGCGCGAGTGGTTAATTCTTATCTTATTAAAAAGATACATATAAAAACCGCAATTGCTATGAATAAATATGCTCTCAATTAATGTGAAAATTACAGAAACAAAGAACAGTGGGATCACACTTCTATTGATACGAAAAAGAAACTAAATTGTGCTTTGCTAAACTCTGTTGTAAAAATTCTTGAATTCTCAATTTCTAAAAATTTTAGTGACATATACATAGCAATGAGGGTGTACTTCCTAAAATATTAAAAAAAACTTATCACAAATGATTTTTAATTTCAAAATAAACAGTGGATTATCTTAACATTGAAATTTTATACCACTTAATATGCTGGCTAGAAAATATCACTGCTAAACAATTAAAAATAAATTTTATGAACTCACAACAATTGCAAAAACAAAATATTATTCAATAGGTCAAACATATGAATCATCTAGTAACTGCAATCATAGTTTTTTTCACTCTAAGTAAGTAGAAAAAATAAATATCTGAATAGTACACATCAATTTTTGTAAGTGAACTTAAATGACTTAAAGTAAAATTTCAATGCACACCTTATTAAATGGTTGAGTACAAACAACTTGAACACAATCCCATTTCTCCTCTTTTAAATTCTGTGCCAACTTTTCAGGGCCAAACATACGAACTCTGTTGCTATGTTGTTCATTTCTACTTTCAATGGGGCTCATGAATGATGAAGCAACTAATAAAACCTATTAAACGTAAAATTAAACTTCAAAAGATGAGAAAAAAAAATCACTATTTACATTAGCAAAAAAAGGCAATGTCTATGTTAATGCTTGATTTTTATGTACTTTTCAGTTAACTGGACACAAACCCCATAAACTTTACTTTATTTATTTAAATTTTAGAGGTTTTAGAACTATTTATATAAGTGACCTGAGTAAATAATCATTACACAAAACAAAACCAAAAATTTTCATCAACATGAATATACATAATATATAAATATAAGCATAAAATATGATTAATAATAATTGTTGAAACTTTTTTGGTTTTATTTTAGTCCAAATCTAAATTATATGGTGACTTTCTGCTTGAGCCCAGTTAACTGAAAAGTACCAATTTCTAATTTCATGCAAAGCAAAAAGTTATTTAAGTCATCAGTGATCTATATGATTAGGATAGTCATCAGACTTTTTATAGAAAAAAAAATCTTTGTATATAAATTATAAAATTTTTATAAACACGAATATACAAAAAAATTATACGAATACATTGTTAAAATTATACGAATACAACCACTAGTTATAAAAATGCAGAAGATAGGCAAAAAAAATTTACAACTGCATACTAATTACTAATGAATTTATAAAAGAAGCGGATTTTAATTAATTATTTATTTATAAAACCAATATAATATGAGCATAACAAAACGATTCTCACCTTTTTTTAAAGCAAAAAAAGGAAATAATTTTTAAAAAAGCTGTTGACCAGATACTTGACGGTACAATATTCATTTATTAATTCTTGATTTAAGACGTAGTTACGGCCCTGCCTAAGGCTGTTACAAGAGGAGTAGCGACGTTTGACTTAAAGAAAATACTAACTATCAGACGGTCGGGTAAAATGCAGAAGATCTTATCCTCTGTGCGTAAAAGCGGAAAAAAATAGCTAAAATAAGAAAAGTGAAAGTGCAAGTGCGGAAAGCTTCTGCAAAATGCGGAAGGGTTGGCAGCTATGCGCATATATGCATAAAATTAAAACATTAATTTTAAAAAATATATATAAAATCTACTTTACAAAAAAGAAACATATTTGCAACATTGAGAAATTTACTGACATAAAAATACTAAAAAATGCATTTTTAAAAAATTATAAGTCTCTTACCCAGATAGTCATAATAAAATTCTAAAAATACTCGGAAAAAAATTAAATACAAATCAAAAATAAAATTTTATGAAAAAAGGAGTTGTAAATATGTTTTTTAAGGACAATAAAAATTTTATCTCTAAAATCCAATCAACAAGCTAGATTTCATGATTATAAGTCTAGATTTTAAAAATATAAAATAACAGATGAAATCATCAGAATGTATCAGAATCACACATATATGAAAAATTGTAAATAGTACTTCATTCAAGGTAAGGCTTTACAATGTTTTAATCATTAGTTATTGCCATAATCTTTTCCAACAATTTTTCAAAAAAAATATATACATTGCAGTTAATCTTGTTTTATTTTCATTCTAGGCAGAGCAGGACAACTTTTCTCTGGGTGCTAACCACTGAATACCACATCAACATAAACCTATTTTGATCTAAAAGAATTCAGGTTTCCATCTTTATCTCCCTTTAAATGCCACTATAAAACAATAATAGAATGCAACGAACATAGATACTTATCCATTAGCTTAAAACCAGCCAACAAAACTCGCCAAACCTCCTCATTGATGACTCTGACAATTCCTTTTTTTTTTTGGACTTAAATAGACATTTATTTTTATCATCACATTTATTTCACACAAATCAAATGAATCATAGAGAAAAACATATTATACCAAAATAATATTCTATAGAACACTCGTGAAATAAGTTTTCTTATAATTGCAGCCTTCTGTCCATTACTTGGGATTTCTGCCTATTACACAGCTAAAGGATAAATATTTATATAATATATGTCCCTTTATGCTCAAAAAAATAACTAAATGCATTAAACAATTAATAAATTTTTTTTTTAAATTATCACAAGTAGATATTAATTTGTGAAATACATTTTGTAACCAACAATCACCTTATAATCATTAACAGAATCTGAAGATCTCCCCACAAGAACTTCCACAAATGCAGAACTTTCATTACCAATATCAATAGAGTGAATCTTAGTAGCTTTTTCAAACTGCAATATTACACTAGCATTCTTTTCCCCAGGTGTAGCACACTTCCATTTTCTGTAAGTCTCAGGATTTAAGAGATTCTCAGATTTATGAACCTAAATATTCATTGAAAAAATCATTAACATTTTGAAGTACAAAATTCTGAATAAAACAAGCCATAATTTTTTTTTTTTTTAACCCACTGACGATTCGGCACATCTCATTTTAACCTGCAGTCTTCTCCACATAGCAAAACCGGATTTTCCATGTTAATAGATAGGGAAATAATGTTAAGAGGAGAAACATTCTCCCAATTTTGGTCATTTTCTAAACCACCAGAGGGTTAAAAACAAATTAGCGAGTGATAAGAAAAAAGGAAAGACCCTGATCATTACTTAATTTATTGATTTGATAATTACAATGGGTACTCGTACTTTTTTAAAAGACAAAGAACTCCCAAAACTTTAATGGATATATTACTAGTTTTCTCTTAATGGTTTTAAAAATTTTATTTTTTTTTTAAAAATCGTGCTTTCCAATGACAAGGAAATTCAATTATTCTTTTAAACTTTTTTTATTTAAACTTTTTTTAAAATTCAAACAAAATTTCTAATATTCTTTAACAGTGAAAGCTTGGCTTAACTTTTGCTAGTTTATTGGAATCATTTTTTCAAATATTTCAAAGAACTTTTAAAACTTGTTAATTCAAGATTAACTATAGAATTTTTTTCATGTGTTTTGAGCATGTTTCTACTTTTACTATGTTGATTACAGAGAAGTATGTGCAATTTGAACTGGGTTGTAGCTTTAAATTGATTCTGTCAGGCAATGCCGCAGATAAAGGTTAATAAGTGAAGAAATAATGCACATTTTAATCAATAATAAAATTAAAATCACGAACAATTTAAATGTTAATTTAACACTATGAAGATGAAATATATGGGGATATTTTTGTATTGTGATGACAACTAAATTTGACAAGGCGCAATTCAACTCAGGCGATCCAGGAAGCACCTCAAAAGTCTAAACTGTCCGCAGGGATAGGGTAGGGCAGTGTTTCCCAAAGTGTGGTACGCATACCCCCAGGGGTAAGGGAACTGTTTAGCGGGGGTACGCGTTCGTATGTGAAATATCTTACAACAAACGAAAATTTCAAAATTTTTTATTTAAAAACAATGCTAGCCATGAAAATTTACGATTACGTATTTTTCCATTGGCTATTTTTTGCAGAGTTACCAGTTAATAATTAGTGGTGTCAACAGTCAGTTGTGATTTTTAACTTATGTACAATTCTTTTATAGTAAAAAATACATTCATTCTTTGATTAGTGATTCATTGATTTGACGCAGCGTTACGAAAAATTTAGAAAGGGTACACCAAAGTCCTACGTTTGGGAAACACTGGCAGGGAAGACACTAGGCTTTCAAAATCC